TGCTCCCCCTGTGCTTATGCAATGTTTCAATGTACACGGACACTCGCACAGCCCGCGCTCGTGAAACTCCGACATGAAGTACCTGCTGGTGTGCGCCTGCGACGATGCCTCTGTGTGCTGTGTGTGGCTGTGTGCTGTGTGTGTGTGTGTGTGTGTGTGTGCAGTGTGCTGTGCGTGCTGCTATGTGTGCCGCCTCCGTGCTGCTGCTTAGTGTGTGTGTGTGTGGCTGCTGTGCTGTGTCTTTCTAGGTGTGATCACAGCTCAAGCCCCCGGCTCACTCAGCTCAAACCCCCGGCTCACGAGAACGCGAGATACCTGCTCGTTCCAGAATTCGCCGATTCCAGTGAGAGCTGCTCGCTCCAGAATTATCCGAGTTTCCAGTGTCATCGTCCGGTGGGCTGTTGTCCTTTACTTCGCTGCAATCGTCCTTCTTCTTGTCATCGTCAACCTCCTTGACCGCCACGGCAATGCCAGTCGCGACCACCGGGCGGCCATCACACCCCGGCTTCTCAAGCTGCCGGATGAGGCTCAGTTCGAAACTCGGAACCCTCCAACTACAAGTCCCGACTACATGTTGCACTGAATAGAGGCCCAGGCACCTTCCACAGTGAGGTTCTTGTGCACCAAGTCCACACAGATCACACGGCCATCATCCGCGGAGAGCTGCGCAACCTCCGAGTGCTGGGGGCTGACAGAAGGTGTCAGCCCCCTCGCCCACCATTCGCGCCTCTTCTTGTCATCATCTCTGCTCTTGTCGTCGTCCGGCTTCTTCGTCGGGCGCTTGGCCGCCGGCTTTTTGGCTGCCGTCGTCTTTGCCTTCGTGGCCTTCGCGCTCTTCACCGCAGGACGCTTGGCAACATTTTTCGCCCCAGCCTTCATGGCTTTCATGCTCTAGCCAGGTACGCAGTGGATCTTCGCCCAACACTAGCCAGGTAGAGGCCAGCAGGAAACAGAAGTCAAAGAAGGCCCCTGCAAAGGAGCACCCGATCTTCACACAATACTAGCCAGGTAAAGGCCACCAGGAAAATATCAAAGAAGGCCCATGCAAAGGAGCACCCGACCTACAACGTGGGTTTTCACGCCCAAACCCATGCCGTCACAGTTCGTCGATGTTTGAAATAGGGCCCCAATTTCTCCAAGGATCGATAAGCCATGTGATTGAATCGGTAATCGCAGAATGAAGCAATCTTTCCCCTGATGTGGTCCACATGAAGCAATCAACTGATCCTGCACAGCACTACCGTCACCACATGTCAGCACAAGTGGACTGTCGCCAGAAAAAAGTGACGAACACGCTAAGCCCCAAACCCAAAGACTCGGCAAGCGAACAGCTGGCCTCAGAATCCCAAGCGGCTCCAGTTCCCGCGAAAGGATCCTGTCAAATGCATGACTCAAAGAAAGCACAAACGTCGAGGCCACTGAAACAACAAGGTCCGATCCCTGGCTCTGCTGCCTGGGTCGCACCATCCTCAGCACAACGACCAAGTCCAAACGAAACATCCCTATCGAACCGATAGTGACGAGGAGCAGCCGACCGCAATGGTGTCCTGGCCATAGCCTGGTATGGGTGCCGAATGCAACGGAAGCCGAAGCCAAAGCACAGCGAAGATAAATCACGATGCGCCTCGGCCATTGATAGGTATTGCTGGGGCTTTGATCTGGTACTACAGTTAAGGCTATCTTGGGAGATATAATCGGGAATATTCGGGCCCATATTGATCTTCGGGTATTCAGGCTGAAACTTCCAACGTTAATCATCTTTCGGAAAATCTGTTTGAGTGACGGCGGATGCCGTCATACATATGCTTTCCCTTCGGAACTTCAAACCTGGATCATACACCAGAAGCCTAAACGTAGGAAGATTGGTGGCGGCATCGCGGCACCCCGCGGTAGTTCTTGGGGTGGGGTTAGCATATATCTTTTTGCTTCCCCCCCCCCAAAGATCCGCGCATTTTGGCTTTATTCGGAAGGAACCCCCCCCAATATGAGTCGCAATTTGTTCTTAGTCGGAAGGAACGCCCTCAAATATGATTCGCGCGTTTTGGCCTTATTCGGAAAGAACCCCCTCAAATATGATTCAATTAATCCGAAACAACCCTTCCATTCCAAAGCATTGCCGGAGTACCATTCCACAGCATTGCCGGATTACCCTTGGTACCCACATCACTTACAACAGCATGTAGCTGCAGTATTTGTAAACCCTTATGCATGTCTCTTTGCATATGGACACGGGTGATGGACATAAAGCGTAAACTTTCCGAGGGAGGAATATGCGAATACAAACGAACACGACTGCACCTCTGAAATGAAAAGACAACGACAATGTGGACCGGGTGATCGGTGATGGAGACAAACGGTGGCACAATGATCGTGACTTTAGGGTCTGTTTAGCTAGTTTTTTATATAGACAATATCAAACGCTTAGCTAAATGCTACATAGCCATATCACGCATTCTACAAACCGAAACCCAGAAAGTTTCGCACTGATTCAGACATAGAATTAAAAGCACAAATGTCAAATTTCAGGTTCGTCCACGCATCCCGGCACGCTCGCATGCAGGATATTGCTATGCACCTGTTTACCTTTGATATCGGTCGTCATCGTGTCTGAAAACAATTATGCCACTGGTTTCAACAACTGTACTATCCCTCGGTGTATGAGCACAAGAAGATTCCTGGCATTCGTAGTCTCATGTCAAAGACTGGATATGGCATCCATACATCATCATATGCTGTTCCTCTGTCAATATGATACGCAACAGTTTGCATTCGGTCCAGGATAATTTTCTATATAAATGTTGCAACACAGAAGGTTGTGATTGCTAGTTTGTACATGTGTACATCAGATATGGTCCTCAGGTATGAAATCTTACCTTACCCATAGGCAATGCGTCAAGGACAGGGGTTCTCTGGCTAAACAGCCACCAGGCCAATCCATGAAGCTAATGACACGGTGCACCACAGTTACCACTCCTCCATAGCATATAACTGCCGGCCTGACATGCATATTGTCTTGCATATGTCAGCCCATGGATATGACACGAAAATGTAATATCTTCATGGCATGTTGGAGAAAAAACAAGTACGCAAATACTCCGGCATCGACATCGACCACGAAGATCTGGGTTTCTATATAGAGGATCTACAAAGTTTCTATATGGAATCTATAGAACTTTCGATATGGGCCCATATGAGGGATCTACAAGGGGTTTCTAATGGGTTTTTTTGCAATGGATGTACAAGGTGTCTATAAGGAATATAAACGGGTTTGCTATAAGGGCTCCATATGAGGGATCCATAATGAGTTTCTAGAAACTCTCTCTATAGGGATCTATAGTTTTTCTATATCATGGGTTTCTATAAGGTCTCTACATAGAGGATCTATAAGATTTCAAGAAGGAATCTGTAAGGGTTTCTACATGGGCCCAAAATGAGGGATCTATACCGGGCTTCTATGTGGTTTCTAGAGGGGGGAAAACCACATAGAGGGGAATCTACTAGTTTTCATAAGGAGTATATAAAAGTTGTCTATGAAGGCTCCGTGCAAGGAATCTCTCAAAGTTTTCTATAAAGAACTCCATTTGTGGATCTATAAGGGGCTTCTGTAACTCTCTATATAAGGGATCTATAAAGTTTCTATAAGAATCTATAAAGGCTGTCTATGAGGGCTCCATATCAGGGATCTATAGGGAGCTCCCATAAGGTTCTACGATGGGGCTCTGCAATGCAAGGACTTCTATAATGAATCCATAAGGATTCTCGATAAGGGATCTATACGGGATCTCTATAAGGTCTCTATAGGGAATTCATAAGGCTTCTAGAGAGAATCTATAACGGTTATTTGGAACGGCTCCAAAACAGAGCTGTATGAGGGTTTTCCATAAGGTCGTTATAGATGGGATCTATTCTTCAAGGTGTTCATAAGGCCGCTGTTTTGGGAACCCACACGGTTTCGGAACGGAATCTGTAACAGAGTTCTATAAGGGATCTATGAGGGGTTTCTCGAAGGTTTCTATACAGGGGATCTATAAGGTTTCTATAAGGAATCTATGGTTTTTCTATACGGGCTCCATTTCAGGTCTATAAGGTCTTTATATAAGGAATCTGTAAGGTTTCTATAAAAAAAATCTATAAGGGAATCTGTAAGGTTTCTATAAAGAGTCTATAAGGGTTTAGGATTCTCGACACGGTCTCTACACAGGGGATAGACAAATTTTCTAATAAGGAATATTTATCAGGGTTGTTGAGAAAGGAGGGGGAAGGTGGGGAGGTGAAAAGAGAGAAGGGGAGGGAAGGGGAGAGGGATGGGAAGGGCTGTTGCCGGCAACACATCGGGTATTAGATCTCGGATGCAGGCCTTAGCCCCGGTACAAACCGGTACAACCGGTACAAGTTGTACCGGTCTTCTCCTGGAACCTTGGAAGGGTCCCCCCGGTACAAACCGGTACAACCGGTACAACTTGTACCGGGGGAATCCAAGATTCCAAGATTCCAAGATTGCTGCGAACTCTTTCTCGGAATCTTGGATACCGGAGCCCATCCAGTTCCAGGATTCCAAAAAAGACTCCGCAGCAATCTTGGAATCTTGGAATCTTGGATTCCCCCGGTACAACTTGTACCGGTTGTGCCGGTTTGTACCGGGGCTAAGGGGCCAAGGCCTGTACCCACTATCTTTGGAGCGGAGTTTGCCCAACCATGTGTGTGTGTGTCTGCTAAATGTTGTGGTATTCACGTAGGAAGACACACATACAGACGACATGAAGAACAAACAAACGGGGATGGCACACGAAGAGCTGGAAACAGACAGAAAGCGTGGATCTTTGGGGGGGGGGGGGTACCATCTTTTTATATTGGTTTTCTATAACAAACTATTTCTATATCTACTATGTATGTTGTGTATACATATGTGTATCTATACGTGCTTCGTGCTTGCTTATTTACTTGTTTATACACATGTGGATCCAAAACCCTGAGATCCCGCTAAACTTGGGAACAGGCACAAACAGCAGCGCCAGCACAAGGCACACGATGCCAGTGATGGGAAGTGTCCTGGAAGACCCCACTCGTCGTGCTGGCGTTTTCGGCTTCGGGGGTATTGCTAACCGTGCACCATCCATTGCAGTTCCTGTTTGGGGGTTGCCTTATAGGATCCCTCACTATTTATTTGGTCAAACCCAAAAAAAAGAACTACAATGGAGACTATAGGCATGTTCCCAGCATGCAGCGGCATGGTGCCAGGATTTCTGCCCCCACATCGCCCTAATATAGGGGCCTTGATAATTAGAACAGGGTTTGGGACGCCATTATACTGTAATCATAAGGACCCACCAAAATAGTACTGGTACTTATTTAGGCCCGAATATTATAGAAACCCTACTACAGACCCCATATAGAACCCCTTTTGTAAGGATCCCTTTTAAGGAATCCTTAAGGCACCACTATTGAGGGCAATGTTTCGAGGCCCGAGCAAGAGCTTCAAAGAGAATTATAATGATGTAGGAACCTGGTTCAGAAAGGGCCTTTATTAGGGTTCCTTTAAAGGGTTCCTTTGAAGGGTACGATAAGGGTTTTGGTGGGTTTAATGTAGGAACCTGATTAAAACACCTTGGGCCTTTGTTAGGGTTCCTGATATACGAATCCCACTATTGTGGGGCTATTGGACCACGGTTTCTTGATCAGGTTCCTACAATACGCTTCAATGCGCCCGAAGATGAAGATGCAAAACTATTGAATATGGGCTGCAGAAATCGTCGACATGTCTGTCTCGAAGTTAGCCACAAGCTACGCTTTTGGCTAGGATCTCTTGTTCGGAAAGGCATTTGTGCTGGTCCCGCATTTAAACCGACCTGTATTTTTGCAACCCCCACCCCACATGACCCTTCGCCACATGACCCTTCGGAACCTCAGCCGGTTCCTTAGTTCTACCATCAACCCCCTAAGAAGGGCATCAAGAGCTTCAAGAGATTCCGAGGGTCTTTTGACTCCACGGGCTTTAGGGCTTCGGGGCTTAAGCTCAATGCCCTAGACACACCAGAAGGAAACCCTCGCAGAAGGGCTAGTAGCAGCGTCACCGTCGAAAATCTGTAGAAATCATGCACTAAAGCCTGAACCCTAAACCCTATACCCCCATCATGTACAGCAGGCAGCCCCGAACGGAGCCGGCCTGGCAAGCAGCTGGAGCTTCGTCGTCTGCGCCAGACCGGAACCTCGAAAAGAGAGCGGCTTAGGGATTAGGGGTTTAGAATAGCCCAAAAAACATTTTGCAACAATTTTATTTCGAGTGCGTCGCAGTATGACGATTGGCCGTTGAAGCTTGATTGTGCATGGATCTTTCTTTTCTTCTCCCACACCACGCCGTGTAGGCGGCCAAACCACAGGCAGAACAGCAGGGCAGCGGCAGGGGGCAGGGGGCAGGTGCTTTGAATTCATGATATTCCGAATCCCTGGCGAACTTCCTGCTCACATTAAATCGAATGGTCTTGCTCAACGGAAACCGGCGGTGCCGACCTCCGAAGTGTGAAGGGACAACGCCCCGTACGGGAACGTGTGGCCAGCATCATACACGGAATTACGGAATACCTCTAACCCTGTGGGCGTTCTTCTCTGGGTAAACACCAAACACTAAACTCTACCCCTTAAAACCCTTACACCCCCAAGCCCTAAACCCTGAACCCATCCCCAAAAACCCATTTCCCAAAGCGTTCCGCAGCCGCGGAGCCCACTGGCGAGCGCTGCAGCACAAACTGGGCGAGGGCCCATCGCTGCGCGCTGAGGATCCTGCTTCAGGGCCCCTCTTTCCCTAGGGATCAAAATAGCCCAAAAGCCTTATATAGTATGGTCTTTGGGCCCCAAAACCTTAATATATGAGTCCTTAGATCCCCAGGGTTTAGGTGTCTTTTGAGGTTCCTTTCAGGGTGTCTTAAAGGGTTTCTTGAAGGGATCTATAGTCTCATGCAGGGGCCCTAATAATCAGAACAGGGTTTCGGCGCCCATTATACCATGGTTATAATAAGGAACCCGCAAATAGAAATAAGTATATATATATATATATACATAGGCCCCCATATAGGGTTTAGGGTTTAACTGGGCTCATTTTAAGGAATTTAGAATCTAAGTTACCATAATAGGGATCTATCGTAAATAATACGTCTTCCTCTTTATCGCAACTTAAACAAAATCCCTTAACAAGAACCCAGTGAAGGTTCTAGGATTTAGGGTTTAAGGTTGTCGGACTGGACGAATTGAGTGTCCGAGAAGCTTCCGGTGCTTTTCCAAGGAAGTGATAGGCTTTTTGTTTATCGGGTTTAGAGGTTTAGGGTGTTTTTTTGAGACCCTTGAAGGGACAGGGTTTATTTAGGGTTTTAGGCTTTCGGGCTTTGTACACTTGGGTGCAGAGTTGACCATGTGAGGGCTTGGGATCATCTACAGCCCCTTCACTTCCCACTAAGGAGGACACCAGACGGGTCTCTAATGCAGCGTACAGCACGGAAAAGAGCCGAAAGGTACACCTGGACCCTAAGGAACCTGCCTTTCTAGGGTTCCCGAATATGATTTCTTTATATAAGTCCTTAAAAAGGTAGGTTACTTGGGGTTAAGGCAGGGCTTAGGGCCGAAGCCTGGTGCTATGCAAACCCTTCAGCAAACCTTAGACTGCGAAGCTCACTCTGCTTCCCCAACTCTCGAAACCCCGCACCTTCCAGAGCCCCGAGCCTGATAGTATGGTCCCAGTCAAGATCCCTGATTACCTTATTTTGGGGGTCCTTATAAAGAGGCTCCTACTATTTAGGGTACTCTATTAGGGTACCCTATTTTCGGAAATTCTCTCAAATTCCGTCACGGCCTAGGGTTTAGGGTTTTGGGTTTAGCGTTTAGGCCCCCCCCAGGCCCCAGCGCCCAAGGCCCTAAAGCTCGCGGAGGCGTGAAAATCGCCTACAAAAAACACCAAACACCCTGAAGCCCTAAAATGAATCTTCGAAGCGCCACATGAGCGTCCTGGAGATCAAATACCAAAATCCCCTGGCAGCCCCTCCCCAAAAAAAAACTTCAGATGAGCGTCATGGAGATCATTTGCATCAGCATGCCAAGCCAGTGGGCAGAGGATCGGCCTCTGGAAATATTGAAGCAGGACTTTTCTGGGTTCTTGCTGGAGGCTTTATTTAAGTTACCATGATACTACAATAGATCCAAATTTATGGTAACTTTGATTAATTTCCTCAACAAGAACCCAGTTTTTGTGTGGGATTGGGGTTCAGGGAACCCCACTTTAGGGCTTCCGCAGTTCCTCTACCCCCCGCACCCGTTTTAGGGCGAGGGTTTAGGGTTTGGGACCTCTTTTTGGTGCTTTGGAACTCTCGGGTTTCTAGATCTGGCAGTTTCCGAAATTTAGGGGAACCTTAGGGATCCTACTATTTCTGAAACTCCCGGATGGGTTCATGTGAGTCTAGGACCGTAAGGGTCGTCTAGGACTCCTGCCCTAGGGCTGTTCTAGGTCCTTGTCTTAATTTAAGTTACCATGATAAACAAACCATAATATTTACCATAGATCCTTATTATGGCAACTTTGACTAATTAAACTCCTGGACATGAACCTAGTTTTGGGGCTCGGGGTTTAGAGTTCAAGGATACGGGCTTCGACCTTTGGACGGCTCAAGGATGGCGGCCTGCTGCGAGAGCACCTACAAAATCCCACAGAACGCCATGAAACCCTATACTTACCTTTGGTTAGTAGGGAAGGGAAGAATGGTAGTAATAGTAGTTATAATTGTACCCCATTCCTCCATTCCCTACTAACCAAAGGTAAGTATAAAGCCACAAACACATAAAAACCTCCAGACTCCAGAGGCCCTGGCAGAAAAAGAGACTACAAAAATCCTGAAGAGACCTTACTCAAACAAAACTGAACACACTTCTGAAACCCTATAGAACCCCCAAGACCCGATCCTTGCTGGTGCACTACTTGGAGGTTCATGGGTAGTTATAGTAGGGTCAGTAGAAGTCTCCTAATAGCGCTTACCTGTAGCCGAAAAGACCTACCTTTTTGAGGAACTATAAATGGAAATCATAATAAGGAGCCTTTTCGGCTCCAGGTATAACTATAGTGACCCTACTTATAACCCCACTTATAATTACTGTACCCATGAGCCTCCAAGCAAACCATAAAACCGAGGTCCCTCTTTAGCAGGCCTCCGGGCAGCTCGGGCACATGGCACTGGAAGACGCCGCCCATGATCCTCGCTGCAAAAGTTAGTGGCTCATGGTTTCGCGGTTTAGGGTTTAGGGGTCGAGGGTTTAGGGTTTGCGAAGAAAGCGGGGCGCAGGTGTCCGGGGGTTTAAGATTTTGCGTTTTAGTCTGGGGTCCATGGGGTTTTGGACTGGGTTTTAGGGCGCTGCATGGGCTTGATTGTACAGGGGCTTATGCTGTTCTATAAGGGTTGATAGGGGTCTTACAGCCGCTTTCAAGGGACTGAGGGTTCTATCAGGGTCCTCGAAGGATTCGTTTTGTAAGGCTTCCGTGGCAGCTCCAAAAGAGTCTAAATCCAAGAGTAACCTAGGAACAAAAAGAGTGCCCTTTTTGGTTTAAAGGGGCTTATCAGGGAACCTGAACCCCTAAAAAAGGGAATAAGGGCCTACTCTAGGTCCTAGGAGTGTAGGGGAAGGGGCTTGTAAAGCGTTTCGTAACGATCCCAAAGCTGCAAAGAAGCCGACTTGAAGGAGTCCCGTTGAAGGTGTACCCAGAGAGCCCAATACCCCTTATTTAAGGAATATACCTTAAATCATAATATGAAGCCCTATATAATTTAAGCCATATTCCTTAATTAAGGGGTATTGGGCTTTCTGGGTAAGGGCACGATAAAGGCTACCATAAGGGCACAACGAAGGTAGTAGACTCGTAGAGGATTCAGTGAGTAGGGCTTTGAGGGATTATGTGTTTACAGGTTTGGGGTTGAGGGCTTAGGGGTTTTTCGGTTTGGGGTTTAGGGTTTAGGGGTTTAGGGGTTTGGGGCTTTTGGGTTTCACGGTCTCACTTTTGCAGGATGGGCGGGTAACGGCTTCGGAGATGGCATTTCGAGATGTGAACACTCGAGGGGTGAGAGCCACTGACTGGGAGTCATATTCTACAGGGATCATACTTTGGCCCTAGGCTCCTACACTACCCGAAGCTCTGGGAAATAAGAGAAAAAAGCCTACAAGGTAAGCCAGAGATCTGACGCCGTCCCGATGGACTGTTGAGTGCTGCTGGGTTTAGAGTAAGGTTTACGGTTTAGGATGTACGGCTTATGTGGGAATTTTGGGGGTTTAGGATTCTATAAATGGCCAAGCCGCATCAGAGCACTGGAACAGAGGCGGAGTAGACCAAGTCGCTCTAGGCCCCAAAACCTGCAGAAGGCTTCTCCATCTGTCGCTGTGTGCTTTATCTAGGAGTTTGAGAATACTTGGGTATGCTTCTTTATGCTGTCCTGTGTATAAGGATGCTATTGCTCTAATTCATCCGTGATGTAGGTTCAGGGTCGCAAACGAACTGCTTCGTTGCCAACCCCCTGCACCTACACCATCAACCCTAAACGCTACATCCGCAACAAGCCAGGATACGAAACCTTATAATTACCCAGCATCATGCATCTCAAAAGTGAAACCCCGAACTAACATCTAAAGCACCACAAACCCCTGATACCCCATTTCGAACCTAGATTCCTCAACCCGATCTATAAAATACACCAACACGTCCGTAAATCCGTAAACCGTAGACGCCCCAAAATCAGAGCCTAAACATCCCTGAATCCCCTAAACCCCGAACCCTAAACCCCCACCTCGCTGTACACATCATAAAGAGCACGCTCGTCGAGCTGATCATGGTCCGAGCTGCCACGGTGAGGAACCTAAAGGAGCTCTTAGGCTTCATGAAACGGTTTAGGGTTTAGGGCTTTTTTGTTGTGAAAGCGGGTTTTAGGGTTGAGGGTTTTAGGGTTTTAGGGTTTAGGGTACCCTGAAAGCATGCAGGATGAGATCAAAAAGATCACGATGGCGAATACAATGATTACGCCACGGGACTCTGAACCCTAAGCCAGCCCTAAGCCTAAACCCAACACCGGCCCCACACCCCTCAACCCTACAAGCCTCGCGAGACCTCAACCCCAGGATACCCCGCAGTCCCGCTGCGTTCCATCATAAACTCGAAGGAAAGCCCCCCGGTGAGAGAAAACGCCACACAACCACTGGGTTAGGGTCTGTCTTAATTTCATGGTTTAGGACTTTCGGTATAATTTTATGGTTTTGGGTTTCGGTATATATAGATCTTTATGGTTTAGGGTTTGTCTTAATTTTTACAATTTAGGGTTTCGGTTTGCTGTGATCAGCCAAGCCGGGAGACTCCAATGCTTTGTTGGTGAGGCCAATTTCTAGCCCCTGCACGAGGCCAATGACGACCTCAGCCGAAGACGTGGGGAGACGTAATTTACGCCACCATAATTTAGGGCTCCTTTCAGGGATCTCTAAGGGTTCCTTTAAGGGTATGTGATTTGAATTTAAGTTACCATACTAAGGGAACCATAGTATTTACTATAGATCCCTAGTATGGAAGACATGGGCAGAGTTGCTCGAAGTTTGGAATTTACAGCTTGGAGTTTAGGGTTTAGGTTTTGCGGCTTAGGGTTTCGGGTTTCGAGGTAAGATCAAGAGGAGCCCCAAAGTGGGAACCCGGGATCCGAGAAAGAAAAGCCTCTGGCCGCCAGGCGGCGACGTACATGTTCTCATGTGACTGCAGCGGTGGTGCAGGTGGCCGCTTGGAGTGCCTGAGCCTACTTTAGGATTAGACTCCCATTCTTTCCGGGGCCTGAAAAAGTAGAGTAGGGGCTTGGGTAGATTTGAGGCTATACATTAGTCCGCGCTACTGAGTGCATGATCGTATACTTCATACTGCCAAGAGGAAAGACAGATGAGCCAAGCATAAAGCCAGGGACATCTGCACCTGGAGCCCGGATACCGTGGGCTCATGATCTACTGAGACTTCCTGGGGACGCAGCCTGCACTACGCTTCGAGCAGTTGGGGCCCTACCTGCGAGACACTGAACCCGAAGGCTTCAGCGGTTGAGGTTCGAGCTTTGGGTTTAATATCAACTTGTAAACCCTGCACTCTAAACTCCAGCTCTCAACCACCTTAACCCTAAACCCCAAGCCCTATACTCAAATCCCTGAACTCTAAACCCAATAAGCAGAGGCCCAGTTACACCAGCCTGGAAAGCAGCCAGGCACACAGGGCCGTAGTTGGCTGCACCATCGCCGTTAGAGCGAAAGGAAACGGAAAAATGTCATGCACCACCTCGCGGCTTTGGAAGCTTTGAGGGTTTTGGGAACTTTAGTATCTATACACTTCGGAAGCTTTTGGTGGCTTCGGAGGGCGATTTAGGGCTTAGGCTTATAGGGTTTATTTAGCTTTTGGGTTGAGGATACGGCTTGGGGCCCGGAAGGTTATGGTCTTCAGCCTACATAGGTGTGACCCAGAGAATTGAAAAATCGGAAGGCAGCTGAACGACAGCCTTCTTGCTCTGCTGTGGCGCTGGTCGCCACTTAGGACACTCTCAGTTGTGTGCTGGTATTTGTCACCGTCGTCTTCGTCCTCATCTTCACTATACTGAACTTAGAACCCTAGCAAAAATTATAATTTTAGCTGTTTCTTAGGGATTATAGTAACCAAAAATTAAAAATTATTTCTAAGTACCCCTAAGTTCATACGCGCCCTCACCATCATCATCCTGCAGTCCCTTGTGATGGCTACTGCAATGGCCGGCCGCAGATGCTTCCAGCATCACCATCACCCGTCCCAGCAGGAGAACTGCAATACACATTCATCCTAAACCGGTCGTTTTCGGCTTAGGCTTCGGGTTTGAGCTCTTAGTTCCCTTCATGTGCGTATCAGCCTGTGGATTCCAAACCAGCCTGCTTGATCTCGAGGATGACCATGATGGCGGCGATCCACCACATGCTGGTAAAGGCAAAAACCTGCAGACCCGGCAAGGCTCTGGGGGCTTTCGGATTTCGGGTTCAGGGTTTAGGGTTTCGGGTTTAGGGTTTAGGGTTTCGGGTTACGGGTTTGGGGTTTTGGCTTTCGGGATTTCTGGTTTCGGGATTTCGGGTGATGTGTTTGTTGTCGGTTCTTGTCCTGGTGGTGGGCTTAGGATTTCGGCTTAAGGCGTCCTCAACTTAAACATAACAATACCCCAGAATGCCGTAGGATCCCCAATAACGACCCTGTAAGTATACTAGAATCCCCGATGATAGTCTGGCCGCAAGCTGCAACTGGCTTCATGTGAGAGGGAAGGGGGGGGTTAGGGCTTAGGGTCTTAGGGTCTTGGGGTTTAGGGCTTAGGGTCTAAGGAGAGTCTTTCTGGCGGTAGCCTGCAAGCAGGAGCTCTACCTTCACTCGGGTCGAGGAGCCTCGGACCCCTCCATATCGCCAAGCTCCCAAATCCGGGCTCTGAGGGTTTAGGGGCTTCTAGGATTTAGGGCTGAGGGCTTCTAGGGCATCTAGGGTTTAGGGCCCTGAACCTCAAGCGCTAAACTGCAGGACCCTACGTCTCTGAAACTGCCGGGCCCTAACTCGGCGTCCAAGTAGTCTTGATTTTATGGCTTTGGGTACCGAAAAAGGCCCTAAGTGCTATCACAGGGAGTACCTAGCCCTTAACTCGGTTCAGGGTTTAGGGGTTTAGGGTTCAGAGGTTCAGGTTTAGGGGTTTAGGGTTTAAGGTTCCTGAGCAGTAAACTTAGAGAAGCCACGCAAAACTCAGAGCCTCCAAGCACCTTTCCAGCCACAACAAGCAACAGATAGCGGCGTTGGGCCATACTCAAGCCCTGATAAGAAGCCCAGGAGGAAACCCCCAAAAACAACCTGCCAAAAACCCTTCAAAGCCCGTCTTGCACGTCTATAGATGAGCCCAGGAGAAAATGAACTAGAAACATGTATTAGTACTCTTCTAAAGCCCCAGATTCAAACAAAGACAAACCCACAACCTTGCTAAACTTACCTTTGGTTAGCATGGAATGGAAGAGTCTAAGAATGGTAGTAATGGTAGTTATAATTGTACCCCATTCCTCCATTCCCTACTAACCAAAGGTAGGCAAACAGAATCAGCACAACTTCTAGGAGCCCTAAATCCCTGAACCCTACATTGCTGAGTTGTCCTTTAAGAACTTTGAAGCTTATTTACTATTGCTGTTCTCTGCAAAATAGTAGGGGAAATTACAAAAGATCCCACAGGACAACCCAGATAGTTTTATTGGGCCGATGTGGCCCCTTCAAAACTCCTTAGAGCCCCCACAATCATCCCTGCAAGCATCTGTGCAAAACCATCTTTCAAAAGTCGAAAGAAAAGCCTATGAACGCCCCCAGAACCTCTTGAGGCTTACTATAGCCTCAAGCATGTTGAAACTGCTGAGGACCCCTTTTTAACCCCTTTGTACTCAACCCATGGGCCCACCTTCGGGGCAGTACAACAAGCCTCCAAAACTCTCTGAACAACTTCCGAAACTCGAAAGTCCAAAACCCTAAACCCTGAACCACTAAACCTAAACCCTCTTGATTGAGAATTTCTAGAACTCCATTTAACCAAAACCCGAAACCCTAAGCCCTCGACGCTAAACGGGCCCACCTTCAAGGCCTGCTTTGAGGGCCCCGGTGCAGTCGACTCCACCACTCGCGCGGGGTCCGCGCTGGGCGAGTCGTCCGTCACATTCCTTGCCCAGAGAGCCCAATACCCCTTAATTAAGGAATATTGCTTAAATCATAATATGAATCCCTATATAATTTAAGCCATGTTCCTTCACTCCCTTATAGAACCCTGATAGATCCCTTTAAGGAGCCCTTTAAGGAACCCTTAATTAAGGGGTATTGGGTCCTCTGGGTGGGCTTTTGTTTAGGGGCTTGGGGTTGAAACCTCTGGGGAGGATCGGGAGTTTCGGTGTTAAGGGTTTAAGGTTTAAGAGCTTCGATTTAGGGTGTTTTAAGGTTTCGGGATTTTTCCATTTAGGGCTTACTTTGGGTTGAGGTTTTTGGATGCTTTTTGGCGCTCTTCGGGCTTGCGGTTCGGTTTTAGAGCTTCTTGCGCGATCAGGCTTGGGAGTTTAGGGCTCCACCCCTCGACGCGCGACTCTTCGGCACAACTTGGCGCTTTGGGCTTCAGGGTTTTCAAGGTTCAAGATTTTTTGGTTCTTTTCGCGGAGGCCTGGGGTTCAGGGGGCTGGTATATAACGCGTTTCCGAGAGTGCTTATCCTGAGAGCCCCCCCCCCAATTTCATACTGTCTTAAGGGGCTCAAAGGAACACGGAAGAGCTTCCAAGATTCGTAGGTGATTCAGGGTTCAAGGTTTCGGGTATAAGGTTGAAGATGAAGGGCGCAAGGTTTCAGCTTCCTATGGCTAAAGGATCCAAGACCATGTAAAGGCAAAGGAATCTCCCTATGCCAATATAAACCCGAGCTTACACGAGGTTCTCCAGTAGCCCCTGAATACAGGGGCCTAAATGATTACCTATTCTAAGTTGCGGATTCCTTATTATAGTTATGATAGGCCCCCAAAACCCTATTCTAACTATTGAGGCCCCTATATTAAGTACTAGAGTACTCGTTTTCCCATGTGGTTGTAAGGGGTACTACTGTGGAAGCTGGTACAGCATGCTCATCGGGCAGTTGACCGACATGGCGACTCCCCGGTCACCGAAAACTTCAATGCAGCAGGGATCGCTTCCATCTTTTAAGTGTGCTTGTGTCAAGTACTGTGTGTGTGAAGGGAGTCGCTGTGAAGCCATTGCATACAGGTCTGACTCAGACGTACGAAATTGCCAGACCTTCAACATTTCATCAGACGTCTTGTTCTACCTGAACCCTCCACCCTGGACCCTAAACCCTAAACCCCAAACCCTGGACCCTGAAGCTTAAACCCCGGACCCCAAACCCTTCACCCTTACCAAGGATACCTACCCGGGGCGTCTTCATGCCGAGCCAAGGAGCAGCCTGATGTAACCTTAGCCCACTGCGCCCCTCTGGCTTCTCGGTCGCATCACAAGCACGGGCATCGCAGCAATACTGATATTTGTGGTACGTTTGAGTGGCGCACGCATGTTAGGAACACTCTTCCCTAAATAATGAAAGCAATATTTTGACACATCTTTTTAATACTGACAATACTTCTACCTTAGTATGACTACTATTACGACTATCATTCTTACTTCGGTTCTTAGCATGATTATTGGTGTGGTGGATGGTGTTATTGTGGCTGATCCTCCCTACATGCTTCACCTGAAAGCGCTGCTGAGGCGCCGCCGGGACTAGGAAACGGTTCTCGTCCCTCCTGGCTGCCAGCTGTTTCGGCTCAGGGTTAAGGGTTTGGGGTTCAGGGTATGGAAAGCTGTTTCTGGGTTGTAGATTTGGGTCGCTTCAAAGTATCTATGAACAGGTACCTCTATAGGGACCATAAAGGGACATTCACAAGTTTCCCAAAGGGCTTTCTGTCGGCGAGGGGCAGAAAGTCTAGTCACCAAACCCCGTACCACATTAATACTTGTTGGGGTTCCTTCTTGTAGCTGTAAACTCGCAACTGAGATGTCTTGAGATTCCTTCTTTCTGCTATAAACTGTAAAAAAGTTACACGTACTCGCACATGGAGGGGATCCAGGCTCAAGTGCAAGCCCAAGAGGTTTCTATCGTGCACTTCGGAGTGTGATTCTGTGAGGTTGATCTAGGTTTAGGGTTTAAAGGTGTGGGTATGTACAGGTAGGAGTGTAGGCGTTCCTAGTTTAGGATCAAGGATCTTAGATTTCTGGGTTTGAGACTCAGGCCAAGGATGCAAGGACAGTGGTCCGGGGTTTCCGCAATTTGGGCATTTCCCAACAGAGCGGGGTTCGCATCACAACACCTGGCCTCTGGAGACCACCGACACGATGGACTAACCCTCCCTACTGTAGTTCAGCAAGCTGGTGCTTTAAGGCATCCAAGCTCACAAGCACTCGTACTACTACTCCGCAGAATATCGCCCGAAACCCTGTTCTAGTCAAGTCACTACAGGTGGTACATCTTTCCCTGTATTCATCTAGAGACTCAAGTCTGGACGGTGCCGGCAAAAACCCTTGGTGCGTTCTCTCATACTGTGATTACCCAATCGCACCCATACGAAGATTCGTAGTCGCTTCCAAAAATGACCGAACCCCCCGCCCAGGCTGAGCAATAAGGAAGAACGGAAATAAACCGTTCCCGAGCAATTAGGGCCCCCGAAGTCTTCCAAAACCCCCCTACTTTCTCAGGACAGTTTTTCCCGGCTCCTTCGGACTCTCCCCTTCCTGCTAAACCCTGGACCCTCAACCCTAAACCCTCAACCCTACATCCTAAACCCTCAACCCTCAACCCCCCCGGGTCCTTCGGACTCTCCCCTTCTCGGTTCCAGCTGCAGGAGCGAATGCGCCGCATCAGCCGACTCCATGGCTCGAAGCCCAGATCCAGGCGCTTGAGCATGGGAGTTTCCGTCTCTCTTGGGCTCCGGGGCTCAAGGCCCCCCGTTTCGGACGAGGGCGGGCCCCAGAGCCTAGACTCTGAAAACCCCTTTCGAATAGTATTATATATATATATATATATATATGTGTATATATATATACATATATATATATATATGTGTATTATACACATAGATGTATGTATATGTGTGTGTGTGTGTATATATATATATATATATATGTGTACATATATGCTGGGTTTATTCTTGGGTTCGGAAACTCCCGTGTCAGGCCTGTCGGCTTCTCGGCTGCTCTAAGGCTGAGAGCTACACGCAGGAGATGGATTTAGTCTTCCTTAGGGCTCCAGTTTCCTGGTAGTAGGTTCTTGGGGTATATCATAACTACTGGGTGTAGCATAACAAGAAATACATGGTTTAGTAACCTACGATTTAGGCAACTGGAGCCCTAGGTATTCTGACTAGACCTAGGACTGTTCTCATGGCGAATGCTGTGAGTAGACTTGA